GCGGCCCCCCCCCCGGCCTCAGTTTCCCCTTCTGTCGGGGCAGGAGGTTGGACACTGTCGCTGCTAAGTCCTTCCAGCTCTCAGGGGAGTTCTCTCTGGGCTAGCAGGGCGGGTTTGGAGGTGCAGACACAGCCGGGGGCGGTGTTGGGGGGGGCGGCGCGGGTCCTTTGCGTGCTTGGGCCCCAAGTAGAGCTGAAGGAGCCACAGCTGTGACGCCATACGAGGGGGGGTGGGGGGAGCGTGTGGGTGGTTCCGGCCTTTCCTGCCTCTTCCGTTCCCCGTCCGGCCAAGTACAGGAGCAATTTCCCTCTGCCTCTGCCGGAGCGCGCCAAAACCCCTCCACTCTGCCCTTCCCTCCTTCCAGACGCCCAGCAGCCAGACCTCCACCGCAGGGAGCCTCGCTGTGGGAAGCAAGCCGGCCCAAGCGCCCCTGCCGTCTGGGGGGTCTTCCGCTAACCGAGTTGTAGGAGATGATCCTGCCGCACAGCTGGCTGCAAGGCTGGGCCCCAGGGACACGGGATCAATGAAATGCAGACCCCTTCAGCGGGGTGACCTGCTGAAACTCGGCCAGCCCAGACCCGGACCCAGAAGTGGGAGAGGGCCTCGGGCACCTAGAGGGGCGGAGGGCAGGAGAGGCAATCAGGGAAGTCCCCCGGACCCCTGGTGGGCTCCCGGGACCCTGCCTCCCCCGCAGGCCTCCTCACGCCCCGGCCCCCGTGCGGCCCTGAGGTCAAAGCTGCCAGACCCTCTTTGCCCATCCGATGTGACGAACGCTGCTCGCCAGCAGCTCAGCGGCAAGGCCCGGCGGGGGGGGCCCCCACCAGAGGTGCACCTCGCATCCAGGCCCCGCGGCCGGCGTGCACTCACTCACTCCAACATCACCTACTTACTGAGGACCTCTGACAATCCTGGCTCTGAACTGAGCATGAGGAGAGCACAGACCCCCTCCGGTCCCCCATGTCTGCCATCCCCCTCCGTGGGAACAGGGCCCATGTTCACTTGGGCGTGTGACCACCCAGGATTAAAACTCCACCCCCAGCGTCCCTTGCAGCTAGAGGTGGCCATGTGATTACGATCTAAGCAGAGTGTGGTGGACCCTCTGTCCTTTCCTCTCACAGGTCTTCTTTTTTGCTGGCTGGAATGCAGATGTGATGGCTGGTGCTGAAGTGGCCATTCTGAGCAAAGGTGGTCCAAGAGGGCAACACGCGGTGGATTAGACAGAAGAAGCCATGTCCTGAAGACATTTTGGAGGAGAGGCACTGCTACTTCCCTGACCTGCCTTCCCCCAGACTTTGTTGTGAAAAAGAAAAAAACAAAACAAAACCTAGGTTTCTCTTGCTTTCACCTGAACATAATCCAAACCCACACAACAGGTAGTGACATGACATCGGGGAACATACAGGACTGGCTGTGCAGAGGGGCCCCATGGCCTGGTCTGGGAGGGGGACCAGAGGAGGCCTCGCCCAGGAGGCTGCTCGTGTGTCGGCCTGGGGAAGGCAGGTGGCGGTGGCATTTCAGAGAGAAGGCAGGCCAGAGGAAGCACAGCATGTTTGGGAAGCACTGGGTCCTTCGGGGAGGTGGGGGACCTCCGCACGGAACAAGTGAAACCCAAGAGAGGCCTTAAAAAGATGTCCTCCTCCTCTCAGGGAGAGAGGCTCATCGCTCGAAACACCACGCAAGGTCATGTGGCCTCCAGGGCTGAAGCTCCGCCTTCTGATTTTGAAGACAGCAAACACGTGACAAGGGCTCACGTGCAAAGTCACAGCTGCCGAGGTCAGCCTCCGGGAGCGCCTCTCGGGTGGGTTCACGTTGACTTGCCTCCTGCCCCCTTAGCCCTGTGGTCCAGTGTCCCACGGCCGGATGGATGGTCAGCACCTCCTGTCCTTAGGTTCGGACAACCCCACTGCCCAGCTCCGTGATGCAGACGGGAGTCCTCAGGCACCAGATGTGCTGTCTAAGGGGAGGGGTCCAGCCTGCAGGGCCGGCGAGCCAGCTTTGGAGCGGCAGCAGACTTCCTGGCCCGTGTGGTCACCCTGTGTCCTGTGGCCATGCCACCTTTCTGAGCAGACAGCACTCCCAGAGGCTGCCTGCATTCTCAAAGAACCGCGGGTGTGGTCCGCTCGCGTGGGAAGGCTCGCTCCCAAGTCTGTGGCGCGTGGTGAATATGAAAACCTGGGCTGGGGCGCGGCCACCCCTGGGGGCTGAGGTGGGTATGGTCATCGTTTCACAGATAAGAGGCTGCCTCACGGCCACCAAGGGCCACAGGCAGACGCTGTGGGACTGAGACCCAGGCCACTACCTGCTGTGCCAGAG